CATTAAATTCCAGTGAAATATATTTATGTTTGTGGTTGTAATGTGACAAAATATGGAAAAGTTCAATGGGTATGAATACTTTTGCAAACCACTGTATGTACCTCTTTTCTGAGACTTATCTCCTGACAAATATCAGTTTGAAAAAAAATCTCTTAAAAATAAACGCATCATTGCCTCAGTTTTATTGTGTGTGTGAGATTCATTGTATTTATAACAGAGTTAGGAGCCTTTTTTAATTCCAACCTGTATTTGTAAAAAATAAAAGTATGTACAGCAAATTCTTGGTCAAGGCTTATGGCAAGCAAGGGAATACAAAAATACAAGTAGAAATCACAAAATGGATAAGTTTACAATTACAAATAATAAAATAAAAAATACATTACAAAACCTTTTGGTCTTTAATGCTTTTGCAATGGTAAGAAAATTTAAAGTGGACAAATGAGATTAATAGGCTACTGTAAATTCATGTTTAGTTCAGAAAATGTACAACTTTTGATCTGAAATATAGCTAATATTAACACTTTTTTTAAAATCTTCATAGTAAATAGTATAAGTTTAAAATTAAATTGTTGGTCTATTTCTAATTTTCTCCGACGAACACGAATGTGTCTCCTGTTCAGAGTCTCAGGTGAGTCACAGCAGGTAGGTTCGATGACGTCATTCAGGAAGTGGACAGAGGGAAGTCCGTGAGGTGCAGGCTTGTGTTAAACTGTTAACTGGAAAGTTTTTAAATATTTGTATGTTGAGGGATATTTCGGTCCGAGCAGAGAAATGTGCAACTTCGGTGAGTAGTTCCACGCGTTTTATAAAGGTGATGAAAACAAACAAACAAAGGGTCGAGCAGCAAATGTCCGACAGCACGGATGTAAGCAGACCACACAGGCCTACCCTCCTGTAAAACATGTTAAGGTTTGTTCATTAGCAGTACTTTTTGGTTAAAAACGTGAATCAGTGTGTTGGACATTGATCTGCTGAATAAAAACTTATTCATTATGTTCAGTTTTCTGGTTGATCACAGCTGAACGTCAGTAACGCTTCAGGTACAAAGAGAAATAAAGGCTGGAAGTTGTCCTAATTATCTGAATTGGGATACCTTTTAGACTGAGTAATATCTGGTGCCAATTTATTTTTTTTATATTTAATTTTAACCCTCATGGAACACACAAACAGTATTTTTTTAATTAATTTTTTGCTGCTCCTGTTTTATTTATTTATTTATTATTATTATTGTTTTTATTGAATGAACTATTTAATTTCTGCTTTAAAAATTAATGCAGTGGGAAAGAGCAGTGTTGTATAAAGTACCACAAAGTGATACTTGAGTAAAAGTACAAGTATCTTACCAAACAAAAGTACATTGGTAAAAGTTAAAGTCTCCTTTAGGAATATTACTTGAGTAGTATTTAAAGTATCTGATTTTTTTTGTACTTAAGTATTAAAAGTAAAAGTATTGACTTGAAATGAGCAGTTAGATTTTCCTTAATGACTTGAGGTGACCTCCCCAAATAAATACAGAAAAGACTATCGTATTAAAATACTTAATTAATGTTAAATTTAGGATGCACTAGTCTGTTTCAGTTTATATACATATATCAAG